CAGGCTTGGAACTGGCAGTAATCTTAGAAGGGCTACAGGTGGAGTTATAGTGCAAGATTTCATGATTAAATTTATGACTATCCATTAGAGAATGTATTAGAGATTTGTAGGCTTCCAGACATAATCGGAAATAAATCTTAATTTCGCATTCTTTGAAGTACAAATACAACAATTTACACAAAATCAACCAATCATTAACTTATCATCAGCAAATTCTTCTTTAACATCTGATGTTATTATTGTCTTCCTCGCGGTTTCATTTTATAAAAAAAAACATGCTTACTGTTAGGTTAATGTAATCCACAGTGTAACTATCTTTGTTCAGAGGATTCAAATAAAAGAAAAACAATCAAGTGATCAATGAAAACTGAACTTGAAATGAAGACCAAAAAATGCATCATCTTAGAGAGAAAGAAAGAACTAAATTCATGTTAGTAACATGAAAATACCTATTGCAGTAAGATGTTTATTTATACATGCATATCATACATTCTCTATTTTGTTTTAATCCCTATTTCTTTTATTTTAGCTTTCATAATATTCAGAAGGGGTTTTTGAGGAGATTTCAGTATTTTCATAGTTGAAATCATGAGTCAATTGAAGCTAGACCACTATAGAAAACCTGGAAGCACTGGACGGCCGTTTTGTCCTACTATGGGACTCAACAGCAGTGCGCATCCACGATCCCGCCTCACGGGATTCGAACCCAGGATCTACCAGTCTCGCGCCAGAGCACTTACTCCTTACTTAACCAATTGATTCTGTTTCGTTTTGATTCTTAATAAGAAATAGAAATAAACAGTTTAGTCAATCTTAGTTTTACATGTATCACTATCAAAAATACAATTTACTACTTTTTTTAATCGATTTTTAATGTTTATATCTGAGTGGTTAAGTGATAAATAAGCACGATACTTAGTAACAACTGTTTAAGAACATAAGAATAAATGTAACGAGAAAAAAAGAAACACCCCCCAAAAGAAATTTATGTGATTAAAGACACTGAAATTATTGATTTGTTATGTAATTTATTTAACATATTGTTTATTACTTAGCTATTGTTGGTTGTGATAGATAATAATTTCTGTGATAATTTAAGATAATTAACATAAGTAGCATTTAACACTAATGAGAAGTGGAAAATCTGTCAGAAGGCTAAGAAGATCAAGTTGTAGAGAATAGAATGTGAAGGACATATGATGGAGATTCACGAATGAAGTATTCAGTGTATAGTTCTCATATTTTATGGAGAGATTCTGTAATTTTGTATTGAAATACAGTTGGTTGTCTTTGTATTCTCGTTCACAACAATATTATCTTCATAGCTGAATGCGTGAGTCATTTGAAGCTAAACCACCAGGGAAGACCTTGAAGCACTGGACGGCTGTTTCTTCCTATTGTGGGACTCCTCAGCAGTGCGCATCTACGATCCCGCCTCATGAGATTCGAACCCAGGACCGACCTGTCTTGTGACAGAGAACTTAACCGATAGATCAATGAGCCGGCATTTGATGGTGTTTATGTCTAACTTCAACCAATCCACGAAGTTCAGCAACCGTTCACTAATTGTCTTCAGTGAGTTCCTATCACACAACTATGAAAATACTAAATCTCCACAAAACCCCTTCTAATAACAATATTATTGTTAAATCATACAAATTTGTATAGTTCACATTACTATACTTCTGCAAACACTAAATAATTAGACAGAAAGAACTTCAAATAACTTATAAGATAACAGAGATTTCTGAACTAACAAGCTCAATTAAATATTCTAGATTTTTCAAAAAGTGCAAATCATCATTGAGTATATAATGAACATAAAATGTAATATACATTTGAAAACCACTCCCATATAGTTGGTATTTGCAAGACGTTTAAAAATGTTTATATCAAACCCAAAATACTATATCCACGTATTCACATTCTAGTGCCAGGTGAAATCGGTAGAATATCGAAACTGCGATAAGTTACTATGTAATTTACGGGTTATATAAATCCAGGTTAAATTTAATATATTATTACCTGACGCTAAACTGTCACACATTCATTATTTATATAAGCGCTAGTGAAAACTAATTAGAGATTTTTAGTTACAGCTAAATGGTTGGAAATCGATAATTGTCATCACTAATTTAGTAGTTAACGTTGATGGTCATTGAAAATCATGATGCTCCACGGGTTAACTAATAAATCATGTAAATAATAATTTGTAGGTCCATAAGTTACATTACTGATGAACATTACTTAGACAACTATTGAGAGCCAAGAAGCATTGGACAGTCATTTCTTCATAAAGATGCGATATAAAATATACAAGTTCTGCAATTTTCACAAGCCATTAACATCTACATTTGTCATATGCTCATTAGCGACTAATTTCAAAAGTTAATTCCTTGAGTTCCAATGAGATACCATGACTGGTGTAGTTTAGCCAAGTCTAGTGTGAAGTAGATACCCATCAATGGTTTTCAACAATGATCGCTCATTATTACTAATTGATTGAAGTTACTTATATATGCCATTAGATGTCAACTCATTAGTTCAAAGGTTAAGTGCTTGCTGCGAGAACTGAAAGTAGACTACAAACATTCAAGGATTTCCAAAAACCGTTCGAATTATTGATTTGATTATTAATTGCATTTTATTCTTTATTTTTATTATTCTATCCTTTATATATTTCAGATATTTTTTATCAATTTTGATCAACGTTCAAGATGGCGGACTATTTAGCTAACTCTGAAAAAAATTAAACTTGAACTAACAGAAATAAGAATTATCTGAATTGGTTTATGTTATAACTTGTGGCCTTGTGCCCCATTAACGTATAATGTAATGACACTGGCAACTACAGAATAGCGATTTACTGACTGGACCAAGGAAAAATAAACCCGTACCAGTAGTCTAGAGTCCTTATCCATCCTTCTTCCTGCTTAGCCCCACCTCTTGAGTCCAGAACGCAAATCTCAGCCTTCGAGACATAAATAATTTGTTTCAGACATACTGGGTTTATATACAAGCCAAACGGACCACATCACACTATATATTAGAAAATAACATTTGTACAAGATCTAGCCAAAAGTGTCTGTGATTGTGGGAGACTGTAATTAATAGACTGAGCGTAACTCAAGAATGGTAAATCGTATAATAATAATCTCTGGGTCAAAATAAAGCTTTTAATAAAAGGAACATGAATATTCACAGTTTAGCTACTTAATTGGTACACTACTTAATTATATAATAAAAATATATGAATATTATTAGTCTAGAATTAGATTCTAATAGTTACCATTCATTATTCTTATTGAGATATAACAATTTAAGGGGGTTTCCTGTGGAGATTTTTAGTAATTTGTTTAGATATAGTTGAAATCATGAGTCAGTTGAAGCTAGACCAGTGACTGGCTCCATGAGGTATTTCCTGGAGTTCTAGTGAGAATCAGTAACCAGTGGAGTTCAACCAGGTCTGTTGGGAGATATCAACTCACTGGAGATAATTGGTGAACGGTTGCTCAACTTCTTGGATTGGTTGGAGTTAGACATAAACACCATCGGATGCTGGCTCAGCGGTCTATCGGTTAAGTGCTCTGGCGGGAGACTGGTAGGTCCTGGGTTCGAATCTCATGAGGCGGGATTGTGCATGCTCACTGCTGAGGAGTCCCACAATAGGACGAAACGGCCGTCCAGTGCCTTTAGGTTTTCCCTGGTGGTCTAGCTTCAATTGACTCATTATTTCAACTATATTTATACCAATTTACTTAAATAAAAGAACTAAAATTCAATTTTATTTATCATTAATTTAACAAATAAAATTTAGAATAGTTTTAATTAACGAATAACTTTTTCTCTTATCTCCATGGCTTCTGATAGGATCGTTTATTTCAGATAAATGTTTTAACATAATTAATGAATGAGTCCTAATTTAGATGGGTTTTTTCAACAGGTTATACTTAATTAACTTTTTGGGCGATATACAACATTTTCTGGGTTGTATTGATTTAATCCAGCCTTCTTAACTGATTAACCCTTGTCTCTAATTAACTTTATATAAAGAATTTATTACTTCATTGGTGATTTTATTATTAATAATACAAAGGGTCATGGGCACAGTAGAGCGCCAGGAAACATTCGATATTAAATAGTGACAATAGTGTGTAGAAAATTATTTGCATTGAGTAATACAGTTTCAATGCGCATACAATTGTGATAGATTCTACATAGTAGAAGATTCATTTTAATGTTGACGGGAAGCCATTTTTTGGTAATCCTTGAAGCCACTAAGCTGTATTATCTTTGGAACCACTTCTACAGAGTTGTCAAGAACTAATTTACTTCAGCTTTTCGCTATTTAATGACATGATACCATAAGATGACTAGTTCACTGCTAATTTTTCGTTCAGCTCTAGTGCCGAGAAATCTGATATAATTTGAAGCGTAAGTTCAAGCCACCAAAGCTGTTGTTTAAAGATGAGAGGATTAGTTTGAACATCACCATCATTGTACCTAATACGCTTTACCAGAAAGCAGCTTTACTTACAGTGTTGCTATGGCTAGCTAACAATCCCTTTGGAATACCGATGATTAAACACACAGATGATAAGATAGTGAACTCATAAAACCCAATGGATATAGTCCTACTGCACCTTTGCACCTCTGACAACTTGAGAAGCCGACTAACGTTAATTTAGCGCCGAAGATATACATGATAGTTTCAGGTCACTTTCGTTTTCACAACACTTAAATTGAACTCGCTTCTCAAATAATAATTAGTGCTCACAAGATTATTAGATAAACTAACTCCTTATCTATTTCCATCCTCACATCAGTGATGGAACAGGCTGTAACCAACTTTATAGTATTTCAATGCAGTTTTAATTATTATTACAGTAATAGAATCTGAAAAGACTCAGAACGTAACAGCTTTTTATTTTGAATCGGTAAATGGTATCTTATCGATAATATAGAGGAACTAAGTGCATATTTGAACTATGAGTTTGTAGCTGAAAAGTCATCATTACTTAATCCGAAATGTCAATAAACTGTTTTCCATTGATGTAACATAAGTATAGGTGCTTAATTGAAGTTGCAAATATTGCCTGATTGAACCATAACATTTGCAAATAAAAAGCTTTCTTCAAGTACTTTTGACTTCATGTTTGCAGTTAAACACATTCTGTCGATGACTAGAAGCAGACGTCAAAAGAATGAGTGGCCATTGGAAACAACTAGGGAGGATTGCCCAGGATAGAATTTGATGGAGAATCCTGGTGTGCAATCCATGCTTCCCCATGAGGGGTAACAGGCGTAAGTAAGCAAGTAAGTTATATTTGAAGATGCTTACTACTCTGTACATCAAATTTATCTTAATTTGGTGACCATCAAAACGTAGCTAACTGGTCGAATCGAAAGTTAAACGAACAGTTTTTTCCTTATAGTGAAAATGTGTGTTATAAATTCCTGAATATAAAATAATTCATGGTCTATTATTTGGTAATTTCTTTTTGACATATCATCCCAAGTAAAGTATCATGTATTCAAACAATAGATTCCTTCATACTCTCACTGAAAAATGATTGAAATATGCATTTCATATACCATACTTAACGATATCAGTTAGGTAAATCATCCAGGACAATGTTAATATCAACATAATTGAAAAACCAACTTGTTCGATCATATTTCGATTGTAAATCTGCGATACATAAACGAAAAAAGAAGGGATCGTTCCGTTATTCAAAGTCAATCACAATTACAAAATAACCTAAAAAACCCTCTAGTTTAAGTTGAGCTATTCATAAAACTCATTAGCAAATTATTCGAGTTTATTTGATGGCGACATAAAAAGAAGACTATAACTGCATTATGTCATACATGATTGAGAAAAAAAGTTGTACAGCAATTAAAAAGGGATTTGACAAAGCAATCGATATTTATTTACTGTTAATCTGAAATGTTTTTAAAAAGTATTCAGTAGGAATTTCAGTTAGTTCAACAGTATGAAAGTGTTTCTGCATACTAGTGCTTTTTTGTAAAATGAACAAAGTAGATATAATGGATTTTTATTTTGTTACAGTTGAATAGATAATAAAGAAATCCGATATTTTGATAACACTCATTATCTAGAAATTAAATAATATGATGTTATTATAAACAGAAATGGATGGTGGCTAGAAGTGGAATCCAGGATGCGTGTTCCGTCCTAGTTGGGATTCGTCAGCCAGATATACACGCATTTCAGGATTGATGTTTACCCTGAGACTCGAACCCAGCGCTGTTAGCTTCAAACATTACCATATTACCCGTTTGGCCACTGATTCTAGATAGCTACTAGCTTGCGCAATGAGATGACGTTTCAATTCATTTTTGTATTCAAACAAAGAAAGGTACTGGGTTCGAGTCCCGGAGTGAACATCAACTCTGGGATGCAGGTTCATCCATCTGACAAATCTAAAGTAGGACGAAACTCGCGTCCTGGATTCCACTGCTAGCTACCATCTATCTCCGTTTACAATGCTTTTGACTTAAGGCGATATCGAGGCAATCCACACAAGGTGTACATATGCCAATAAGAGACTGATCAATGAGATGATTAAAACAAACAATACAAGAATGAATATGATGTCATTATTGAAATGATATGTCAGAGCTTATAGTAAATGACATCAATAATCACTTACCATCAATAGATACTTGTCTACCTCTGACTAAATCTGATTTATTACCAACAAGATAGATTAATCCAGGTACGACTGATATTGGACTATTCAGTGCTTTTGATGATGACAACGTTGGACATTGCCTTGTATCATTCAATGGTGTCAAAGCATTAACGATTAATCTAGCTGCTTCAAAACTATTTTGATCATCAATAGCATAGACAACAAGGAATGCATCGATACAATCACGTATTTGAACTTCCTTTAGGGAATAAATTAGAAAAAATTGTTAAATAGTGAAAAAGATAATCAAATAAAATGAAATGACCAATGTTTGTAGATGAATCAAACCATTTTAAAGATTCTGATTTTTTTCAAAAAATTACTTAACTTAAACTTACCAGTGTCTATTAGTAAAACCAGTTTGATTTATGATATCTGTTGAGTTCAAATAGTAGTTAACGACACAGACTTAACATTGGTCGAAAAACACTGAAACCATAATAGGACACTGTTTAGTTATTTGACCGTTGAAATCATGGATTTTGAACATCGGTTTAAAGACTTCAGTAGTTTCCTAAAGTGGTCTGTAGTATGTGAAGCTAAATGCTGAAACTAATTTGCTAAACTATTCATTTGTAACTATTAAGTAGTTGAACTATTAATTAACTAAGAATGATTTTAAATCACTTCTTGTGAATTCTATTGCTGAATTATCAATTAACATTGGGTTAGCATTCCTGTAAAGCTTATCTTAAGAGGGATAAATTATTCTTTATAACATTTGTTGCTCTAACATTTCGGTGGATGAATTTGGCAGAGTTATCAAGAAATTACAGTGAAATTTACAAAGTGGCGGTCTGCCTGAATATTTAGGCTACCTGTTCCTACCACCTAGATATTTCAACAAGTTATCTGTTGTTTGTTTGTCTTAACACATCATTATGTTTATTAGTCGCTTAACCTATCCAGGCGCGTTTATGAAAAGTTGAAGATCATTCGCTGTCCAAGTTACAAAATAGTACAATCAGAAACATCATAATGGTGGCTGACAATATGTTTTGAAAAGAACGAACATTAATCATGTTTCGATTCCTGAATTGCTAAATTCTAACTCCCAATCACTAAATGGCAAGTTGGACTATCTTCAGTTCCTACTAAATATAGACATATGTCGTAAGTATGGTGTTGTCACGATTCAAGAATTCTAGTTAATGATTTGCACAACGATTGTTCAGTATCACTACTACATAGTTTCGATATTTATCGACAGGATCGATGAGGCAATAAGAGAAAGTGTTGGAGGCGTTGTAGATACATTTGTAACTGTGATCTGGTGTTGATATAATTTTGCGCGTTTTGAGTTTTCCAACAACTTTATTGACTGTTTAAAGTTAAGATGCCGTCCAAAACACTTGAACAAAAAATAATTATGTATATGTTACCAACATCTGTGTGACTCGAGACGGCACACCATCTGCACTATCTGTTTTCGTTGATGGATCCACCGACTTTGCTGTTACTGGCTTCAATGGTTCACTTTCAATTAATGTGATGATTTTACCTCATGTGATTGTCACCAAAATGTAGTGAATTTTCCCACTCGTTCGGATTCCCATTTAAACTTGATTTTCACTAATGATGAAGAATACGTGTGGTTCGTAAATGTGCTCCACTGTGTAGTTCTGACTATTGTATTATTCGTGTTCTACCTGAAGTATATGACAATCATGGAAAGAGCAAACTCTTACATCAAATGAAGATAAATACAAGAATTACTCAGAAGGAAAAATTCAAAATTTGAAAAAAAAATTTTTTCGTACAACAAACTGGGGATTATTTACAAATGACGAACTGAAAAACACACTTGATGTTGTCACTTATTATCTTAACTTCTGTTCTGATATTTGTTGCCCCACTGAAATCATTTTTGTAAGTTTGGTCGACCTACATCTTCACAACTAAAAAGATTACGGAGGGTAAATGAAAGAATATACAAGAATAAAAGCTAAATTGAAGTTCGAAAGCTAAATGGTTTAATAAACCAAAAGATTGGACGTCTGAACTTGATGTTTGCTCACAAACTCCCATATTGTTAAAACTCTTCATTTATGTGAAAACTATTTAAAAAGCTCACAGATGATAGACGTATTAGTGACGATAACCAGCTGAATGTTTGTGATGCAAGCATGTCTTTTGCACATCAATAATCTTATATCCGCATGTTTGAATGATAGTTGTGCTTCGATTTTCGATGAAACTGATGTCCGAAAATGTCTCCAGTCACTTAACTCGTCCCATAGTTTAGGACCTGATGAAATCCCAAACTTCTTTTTCGAAAAATGAGCTACCTTTCTGTGTTATCCATTCACGAGCATCTTTAATGAATCATTCTCAACGATTTTCGTACTGAAGATGTGGAGAAAGATAAAGATAATCATAACACCAAAAAATATATCAGGCGATAAGAATGCAGAACTTAGACCCATAGTAAAAACTTCACCTCTTTTCAAAACAATGGAAAAACCATTGCTACTTCCACTTCGATCCGCATTGGAAGAACATATTGATCCGTATCAGTTTGCTTACAAATGCAAAAGAAGTACCTTAGATGCTGCTGTTATTCTACATCATAATATAGCGTTCAGCTTGGAAGAGGGTAACAATATTTTCGATGAGGATTTCAAGATTATAATTCCTGCTTTGAATCTATTTCATGATCAATACTACTTCATAAGTTTATTAGCGCCAACACCAACAGCTAGAAGACCGACTGACTGTGTTCTTATCTGTCTGGAAGAGAACAGTACACTGTGCTTGAAGGAAAGTATTCAAATTCTCAACTATACGGTTTGTCTCACTGTATGTACACGGATTTCTACCGCTTTACACCCTCTTGAGACGAATGAGTTCTTATCTCTCATTGATCGATGGTCTGTTGCTAATGATCTCACACTTGATCCTTTTAAATATCAAATTGTTAACTGTAGCCTGAGACACGAACATCACTTGAACACACTGTTGGATTCCCATCAAGTTTCTACTATCAAAGATTTTGTAATAGCAGCAGTATCGAAGGTCATTTATCTTGGTATAATTTTCTCCTCTGATTTTTATTGGTCCTCTCATGTTTTATTGCTATCGAAGAAAGTTTTCCGCCTGACTTGTCGCATAAACAGTGATATGGAGAACCAATCAGAAGTAGCCTGATGAGACGGTCAGTCAATGGCAATCAGAATCTATCTAAAAGACAAATGCATTTCATTGGTTAAGGAATGGGTCAATTTCCCAAGGATAGGTTGGTGTATATGTGAATGTGTTTGTGCATTTCATTTGGTAGTCCGATACATTTTCTCGCTTCAGTAGTCAGTTGGGGTGGGGTTAGCACGTAGCACACTATGTATCATTATTGGATTTTGGACATCGTCCGTCACAACAAAGAAGCTGCATGGTTTTGGCATTACTGGACATTTATGATTTGGTAATTCTTGCACAATACCTTTTATTCTTTACTGCTCTCCATTACTCTTTACCGAGGTTTTGAGAAAAGACTTTGATGTATTGCAGAGATTGCTGAAGGTAGTTAGCAGGATGGGAGGTAACTGTTTTGAGGTTGCTATCAACATGATTGTAGACAGACAATAACTGGCATTCGTATAATCTTTTCTCCGATAAAAATGATGATCCAACGCTTTCTTCATATTAACTATAGTTTACATATTAGCAGAAAGAGAGAAATTCAATTGAGAAAGCTGTTTAAAAATGATCAAGTATTAGACGGTCATCTAGTTGAAATCAATTCGTCTATAATATTACTTTCAAATATAAAATTTTAATTACAGTAGTCTTAATATATACATATATATTCTCTGTATTTCTAAAATTTTGCATATAGGTAGTAATATTGTTATCGACTTTAATTTTCTGCACTGATTAAACAAGGAACCTCTAAAAGTTAAGAGTACTAGACAACTGTTTTTCCCAATACGAAAATCTTTAGCAGTTTATACCCAATATTTGACGAAGTTTCGAAACCAAGACATACAGGCATCATGATAGAAGCGTTACCATTAGACTATTCAATCGAATCCTAATGGCTCACATCTTAAATGTTGAACAGTTCTCCATGTAGCTCAACAACTGATTTTGAAGTTAGTTATTCGTAAGTATACGATTAATATTTGGTTTTTAAAGATTTGTAAGTATCAGTTTCATTTAATAAATTCAATCGTTTCTATGTTGATAACGATACCAAATTAAAAATTAGCCTCAATCAAAACTAATTTCCACTGCCTAAAATCAACCGAACATCTGCATCACTAAAATAGATGAAAATAAAACTTAATCTATTTTAAAATGAGTAATTTTTAACTAGTTCCCTAAAAGGTTATTTAAGGTCATTTTACGTCAAGCTTTTTCCTTCAATTTTTCTATTGACTTGTATTCGGATATTCTTAACTAATCAACTTTCATGTCAACTAATATTTCATGTATAGAATAAGGGGGAAATAACTTTTCTTTTCATTTTAACTATTCTATTTGACTGATAATCTGTTTAACTATCTATGTGTATGTCATTTTCTATAATAAAATAAAAAAAATTTTTTTTGACTCAATGACCTAATTAAGTGAAAACATGATTTTCACACCTACTCTAATTTTATGTTTACCTTAATTTTTGATAAATATGATGAATAGAACACTTCATAATGGAACATTTAGATATTTATGCAAATAAGATAATCATAATAAAGAACACAAACAATACATGGAATGAACTAAATAATAAGCCCAATTCTTTTTTTTTTATATTTTTTTTTTGTTCCTACAAGAAGATAGTTATCAGGATGGATAATCATTTTCAGAAAATTATAAACAAATCAATTCTATTTTATTGATTAATTTATTTTTCTATTTTGATTTATTTCCTTATTCTAGTAAAAACAAAATGAGATAAAAAGTAAATTTTTATTCAGATTTCTTACTGAAAGTATATGCCGGCTTAGTGATCTATCGGTTAAGTGCTCTGGTGCGAGACTGATAGGTCCTAGCTTTGAATCTGATGAGGCGGGATCTTGAATGAGCACTACTGAGGAGTCCCACAATAGGATGAAACGGTCGTTCAGTACTTCTAGGTTTTCCTTGTAGTCTAGCTTCAATTGATTCATGATCTCAACTATATAAAAGTATATACTTCAGTTAAAAATGATACAGTAGGCTGAATTTTCACATATATATTCGTGTAAATAATAGTTTTACACCGTACGTAATATTCATCATTCAATTACCAGACTTAGGGTATCATTTGAATTGAAGGGATACTGAACAATTGTTACGTCCTAGTGTGGAACTAGTCGGCAGTGTTTAGGAATAAACTTCCTAAGGGTCGAACACAGTAAATCCAGATACATCGGCATGCACCGGCTTGGCATCGGATGTTCCATATTTCAAACTTCAGACGATTTACGATAGACAATATAAATAATCTAATTCCATTGATGACAACTGGTTTATTCACGGAATGACTCAATTGATGAACTGGTCACAAGACAAATAAAGTTGAGAATGTAGATAATTAATTGCTAAATCAGTGTTTTGAAAAGTATGCCATAAGTTTCTTATGTACGGACTGCTAGTGAGTCCAAATTATGACAACAATTCTACGAACTGCACCCTGAATTTCAATGTTACTCTTGCTGGATTGGATATGAGCTGAATTTTTATCGAAATATTAAATGGATCTTAAAAAAATATCCTCATTGAAAAAAGATATTTCTGTTTATTTAGATTTAAAAAAATCGGTTTACGAACAAACTCACTCTACAATATGAGTATTACTAATATTACTACTCATTCTTTAGCAGAAATGAAAATGGAATACGTTACTGATCGCATTTAATAATTACGGATTATCAAATAACAGAAATTATCAGCTGACTACAAAGTATAGAATTGCCCTAATGTTTGTTACAATTTAATTCAGAGAGTTGTTCAATAAAATGTTACATCTGGTAACCAAACTTACAAAATGAGCGAATATTATGTGGGCTACTAATAGATGTAATTATTGTTCAGTAGTTTGGTGTTTCATTGTATGGTAATACACACTGAATACATTGTTGGTTTTCAAATAATTATAATCTTTAATCTTATCTGAAAGCAACTGAAGTAAAATCATAAAGTTTGGTTTCGTTCACTTTCAGGACGTTTCTCTAAAGTCAAAAATTCTTCCAAAATTTAGCTTTGTCAAATAGAATTTGTCTTAAAAAGTAAATCCTGTAAAATAAGCATAAAGGTGTGTCCTAGACTCCACTGCTATCCATTATCTATCTCTCTTTATAATGCCGTCAATTAAGGCTATATCGAGGCAATACGCACAGTATACACATATGGCCAATAAGAGACTGATCAGTTGCAGTCGTAAACATTAATTGGAAGATACAAACAAACAATACTAAGCGAAGTTAAATAAGTTTGTTTCGATAGCCTTATTTGTTACTAGTTGCCTCATTATCTTAATTTCTCCTTGTCTTCAAGTTAAATCTCTTATACTATCGACCACTGACCATGTTTTTGATCGACATTTCTCGAATAGGTTGAAAGATTAGACTTATATTGGCATCTTCATTGGTTCTTGGTTTATCTGAATGCTACGATACCTAAAGTTCTTTGGAGATTTTAGAATTCTCCGCATCTGGAATTTCGACGTTTTTATATTCAATTCCATGTAAATGATTGTCTACATGTATATGAATTCTTTCGTGGATAGTTTGCGTAATTTATGAATACATCTATTTTGTGAGCATCAATAACTCAGTTTGAATGATTATTTCACCTGTAAGCTAATAATTATGTGATATTAAATGATGAAGAATATTTGTCATAGAGTATTTTATAAACCATTAATAATCATATTACTTATAATGATCATGACTTATCAGTATGGGGTTGTGGAAATTATTGAGGTTTTGATTGAGATCATGAATCGATTGATGAAAGACCACTAGTAAAAACAAGGAAGCTATGGATGGTTGTTTTCGTCCTACTAATCTTGATTTGTTGACTTTTGTTTTAAATGAAATAGTGATACAAACCATATTCTATACACAAACATTGGTCAATTCTAAAAAAATCCTATTAATACAATGTTACAGTTAATTACCTTATATATAGAGAGGTGGTAGGATCATTGATGGGAAAACCACAAGACATCTAGTTTTTGTTTTTTATTATTAATTATTATTATTAATTCTAATATAATTAAAATAACCCATTGTGTCACTGAATAAAAATAAAAATAATTCAGCTAAGGAAATTCACTTTTCGACAGTATAAAAGAGAACTCTTTCTATGAATATGGAATTTAAGGGAGATACCGCTATTGAAACCTTAAATAAACGGATTTCAAAATTGTTGAAAGAAAACGTTGTACTTAGCTAAGCTCCGAATTGTTTTCTCTAGCCGGCCCACCATTTACGGATGTGTTAAGGATAAACTTCCGCTTTGGGCCATATCAATGTGCATCTATAAATTTACCTGCTCATCTTACATTGGCCGCACAAAGCGAGCACTTTCCAAAAAGCATCTCAGAACACTATCCGACAACGCTTTTAAAAGGAGAATGTACAGGAGCATTTAATTAACTGTTAACACATCGCTTCAAAAGAGTTTTCTCATAAAGTAATTTACACAGTCAAATGAATTGGATCGAAGGGAAATCGAATCAATATTTTATGCGTTACCGGAGCATTGGCAATCCACGAACCCAGTCCCGAACTTTGTGTGCAGAAACGATTCGTCTAACTTCTCTCATCCTTCCTTGCCCAGATTCCCTTTAGTAGTATGTTTCGGTAATTTTCCCCTTTTTTTCTTCGTTTTTATTTGGTTATTATTGATTTTTTAGGTTATTATTTTGTAATTTTAATCTCTAATCAGTTATTATTATTATTGCCTTATACAAGTTTTCTTGATTATTATTCATTTTTTATTATTATGACCTTTATGTTTGTCGTTTTCCTTTATACCTGTCAATTGGACAATTATCAGAAGGGGTTTTATGGAGATTTTAGTAATTTCACAGTTGAAATCATGAGTCAATTGAAGCTAGACCACCATCGAAAACCTGGAAGTACTGGACGGCCGTTTCGTCCTACTATGGGACTCCTCAGCAGTGCGCATCCACGATCCCCCACTCGCGAGATTCGAACTCAGGGCTTACCAGTCTCGAGCCGAAGCCCTTAACCGATAGACCACTGAGCTGGCATACAACGGTGTTAATCTCTAACTTCAACTGATCCACGAAGTTGAGCAACCATTCACCATTTGTCTTCAGTGAGTTCCTATCTCACAACAGACGTGGTTTTGAACTCCACTGGTCACTGCTTCTCACTAAAGCTCCTAGATATACTTCTCGTCAGTGGTTTATTGGTTAAGGGCTTCGGCTCGAAACTGGTAGGTCCTGGGTTCGAATCTCGCGAGGGCGGGTTCGTGGATGCGCACTGCTGAGGAGTCCTATGATAGGACGAAACGGCCGTCCAGTATTTCCAGGTTTTCCATGGTGGTCTAGCTTTAATTGGACAATTATCTGACCCGTGAATTAATATTTTTATCGTTATATTCCTTCCTTACCCCTTGATAATTGCGTAACCTCATTTGATAATAAGTCTCGAATCCATTTATGATTCAATCTGCTCTATCTTTATATAGATATATAATTTTCATATAACTATAAGCACGAGTGTACAGTTTTAGTGATTTTGTCAAAAATAAGGTTTTCTTCGCTGAATTCCCCTTTAATCCAATATATTTGAATCAACAGAAAACAGTTTAAGAACATACTATCAATAAACTTGGATCATTTTTCATATACACAAAAGTCAAGTATTACTGATTAGGAGAGTTACATTTAATTAAAATTGGTCCTAACGGGATCCCCGGTTTTGTACCTTTGGCAACTCAACTATTGAAATTACTATAGTATCCACAAAAACCCCTCTGAAATTACTTATATATTTTAGTTAACATGAAAATGTACTCTTAGATTATTGTGTGACCTTACTCTTAAAAAGTAAAGATATGAAGCTCCCAAATACAGTTAAGAAAATTAGTTACCTTTTTTGTTCTATACAAATAAATTACGCACATAATGTACAAAATACATCGTTTCAGATGACTTGGAAGATTTTTAGCTCAGGAAGTACATATAGATTACGCTGCCATTTCTGAAATAGATTCTTTAATCATAAATCGTCTATTTGTTTTTCAGGATGTACTTAAAAAAACGTAAGTGACAAGAGCCTCTCTCTACAAGTGATAAATAGATTGAAATTGAAGTGATTTTTATCTTTGGTTTTACGGTTAAATCGTTTTTAAAGCATCCAGTATTGACACTATTATCTGAGTAGATAACGCATGAATCTGAATAATAAAACAGGATTATGTATAGAAACACTTCGTGAATGTTCAATTCATCAAACTGGATAACTTAATCGTGAAGCTTTTATTTCTATTGTAGTTAGAATTATTCAAACAAACTCCAAGAAGAATATTTCATCAGTAAATTGTCAAGCTCATTTAAACTGTTAACTATAGAAAGGGTTTTGTGGAGATTTAGTATTTATCATTGTTGAGGAGTCCCATAGTAGGACGAAACAGCCGTCCAGTGTTTCCAGGTTTTCCATGGTGGTCTAGCTTCAATTGACTCACGCTTTCAACAATGATAAACTGTTAACACCAACCTCGTTCACCTCATGAGCTTTGAATTCCTACCTTGTGGAAAAATATTAAATAACTTGAACATGGGTTTATAATTTATAACTAATCTACATACTGATAGGAATACTGTCATTGTTCATTCATAATTTAAATAAAGCCAAATTAATTATCAAAATAATAATAATTAAGTGGGAGAATGTCAAAAGAAATCAGTAATTATTTAATTTTATGAACATGAGCTTACAAGATTTGTTTCAAAGTTCTCTGCTGAAGTATCTACAAAATTCACTGTATATACTGAACCCCACAGAGCAGTAGTTATTGAGTAAACATCTAATTTGTTATCCATTTCATCAGGATCACCTAATTCAATGGAATAAAAAGTGGAAACGGATACAAAAACAATTATTAGTTTCGTTTAAAATTCAATTTGTTTTCATAGAAGAGCCAATAATTTGATAAAAAGCTACATAGAGTTTATTACGTATACTGTCTGATGTGTATTATGGTTCAGACTATCGTCTTATTTATCTAAGCAGTTAGTGAATATTACAGCAAAAAGTGATGATCAATAGTCAATCCCATGATTCTGAACTAGTAAGTCAGAATTGTTTATGAAAGCCAAATAATTACGGTATAATACGTACTGGCTGCAAACATCAAATGTATTAGGGGAGAATAATGAGTAAACTTCGACGATAAGATCTAAATATCAGCATCTTTTAAAATTTTAAGGTTTACTACTTTCTCATTATAGATGTTGAGAACTGCAATTTATCAGTCTGTTGTTTAATCTTGGTGATGATGAAGCAACATTTTGGATCTGAATGGAGATAAACGCCAAAACATGCCAATATTTCTACTCAAAGCATTCAGGAGACTATAACTTAAGACATTATCTTCACTAAGTAAGAGTACCCCATTTGGGAACCCTATATCAGTTGGCGAATTTTGAGTAAGGGGATCAATCGCTGGAAAGTAGAATAAAGTATGTGCATCTTTCAGGAAATCAAATAAAAAGAGGGCTAGAATGTAACTCTAACGAACAACACTAGAGTTTATTAATTCAGGTGTTACACTATCACAAGCTCTTACTCAGTCAGTAGTACTGATATGCACAGCCTTCACAAGGTGTTATTAACTTTAAATTGAAAGGTGTTATCAACCCCAACCCTTAAACAATAAACAATTATCATCCTAGAATTTTATAATGATTTTGAAGTTGTCATTCATGTTGATAGGCAACACTCAATGTTTAATTTAAAAATGATAACTGTTAGTTGGAAAACAACGGGTATTGTTTTCCTATATACCCATCATATAGATTAGTATTTTAATCGATTATCAAAGATTTCTGAAAAAATCATAAAAACAGGATACTTTTATAATCACTTCCAATGTTTAAACCTTTACCATTACGGTAATTTTAGATTACACTTTAAATTTTCTCGTTAAAGAACTATCTTTTAACATTAATTTGTTTATAATTACGTAAAAGTTGAGATAAACAATATCAATAGGGTAAAAAGACTTTGAAGATGTAATCTTCTCTGAACCAGATGGCGTCTTCTATGGTCTTTTTGAACAACTTCATCATCAGTAATCAAATGAAATCCTGCAAATAAATGGTTAATGGCTTATACTGATATTTAGATTATCTGGCTCAGAAAAAACAACACCCTTACTATTCCCCTTATGAATTATAAATATTGTCAATCACCATAAAAGTAAAAAAGAATAATTTGCATCATGTACGTTTAATTATTTGGTTATATGAACAGTTAGAAATAATGCAATTAACTAAGGTATTATATCTGAAGCAATTTATAGAGTCATTTACAAAGTAATGAAGAGCAGTATATTTATACATATCTTTAGAAACCTGCTTGAATATTCGGGCTACCTTTTCCTGCCATCTGGATATTTCAACAAGTTATGTTTTTTCTGAGCTTATGAAATGTCTACGATCTTTCTCAATACAGGTTACAGAAAAGTAAAATCAGAAATATCATCGTGGTGACTGACAATATGCATTGAAAAGGATGAATGTTATTCAGATGTTGATTCCTGAATTGCTAACATCTAACTGGAGATCACTCAATATTTATCGCAAGAATTGATCAAAAATAAGCGAAGGAAACTTGTTCAAATACTTTGTGCTGAAAATTTTATATTGTACCAAAATTATAATAAATTTAGGAAAATAATAATAACAACAGAACTCCCAAATATTTGTTTTGTTGAAGTTCAATGATAAATGTTATTGGAATCTTTAATTAGAAAATTCTTTTTTGCAAGTGAAGAACTCCCTAAGGGAAAGAGATTGATTGAAAGTAAGATAAACAACTTCCTAAGATAACAAAACCTTCACTAGTAACTTTTATTGATGTTTTATTAAAAATTGAATTGAAGAAATAATATAATTTTAATATGGCTATGATAAAATAAGAAAAAACCACCACTGATCTACGATAATAAATGACTGAATGTAATCGAATGTAAGGTTACGTAACAGCCGGATGTTGTTACAAACTTGTATTTATTACGTTGTAAAAGCTGATACATCTAATGGTCGGTCATATTCTTATTAGTATAAACCAGTAATGTAATCTGAGACATTACCACTGAACTATTTAGGCCGTAACCGATCTTCATTTAAAACTAAAATATTTACACTGATTGATCACTAAATAATAACTAATGTCATTTTTGTCTAGTTCAATTGAACGTCATTTGATTAGCGTTAAAGGGTTCGACCAACATGATATTAATCTTAAGCCGGTGATTAATCAATGCGAACTTACGATAAATCCAACATTATTATAATCCAGTTTGACAGAAATACAGTGGTCTTATTTGACACCTATATAAATTGTGAAAAATAATCGAATAATACTATGGGAGTAAAGGTATGTAATGAACTAAGGACAAATTTCTCAAACTTGGCAAATTGTTTATATAATACTTAATGTAGTGATTGAAGTATACCTCCATCTTGAAACTAATGCCAAGACAGTACGGCACATTAATTTTACATTACTTCAATTCTTACTAACAAATTATCAAAAGTCAGTGGTTAATATCCTTTCATATATAACGGGATTTATTTAGAAAATATCTATTTCAAATTAACAGATGCCTTCCATATGTGATGTACTTGAAGAAACCCTGCATGTGAATGTTTGTTTATCAAATAGATAATAAAAACAAGTACTGATTATTATTTTCTTAGGTTTGTATTCTCTTGTTGTTAATGTTAAGAACTGCAAATGATCAATCTCTATTGAGGTATATACATACTGAGTGAACTGTTCCAATTTGGTCATAAGTTTTTATCAAGGTCTAATAGTGTCTAGCAGTGGTATTCGGAACTTTTATTTCCCCTTACTTAGTAGTCGCCAGCTGAATGTACCTAAGGCTATGTGTTAATGTTCATAATGATAATTTAATAAATAGTGGTTATGTATGTTTTAGTTAAAATTGTATTAACTGAAAATGAAGCAGTTGACAGCACAGACTTATGCTTGATTTGATCTGACCTCAGGAGAGATGTATTGTATATTCAAACCTAAAGTTATAGCTCAGTAAATTCATTTGTTTCATTTAATTAATGCTAAAATTAACTTATTCAAACAATGCACGCAATAATATAATAAATAAGATCTTCAAGGGATCTCTATCAGCATCACACGTGAACTAATGAATACAAAAAGTATCATTTACTGACAGTCGATTTGATTCGCATAAATATGAAATAAACTAAATGAATACAAATGTTTCTTCTTTTAAGAAGCGAGAAGGTGAAATAATATGATGACAATTCGTAACCTAGTGTAGTACTACTCAAATAGAAATGTGACAATAGCCATCTAGTTCTGTTTAGTGTATACAGGTTCTCTCATATTCGACTGAGTTTGTAATTAAAATCTAAATGATTATGTTCATGGCTTGACGGTCCAGATAAATTCTAGTTTAGAATGAAGCAGATGTTCAGTTCCTACTGCTTTGTTTTCTGCTGTTTTTCAACTTTGATACTTCAGTAGTACGAAGTATGCAACATCCCATTAGCAATCATTATAATATTTTTGTTCTATGGCTTAATTCTCACAGTCGATTAACTATCCAGGGTATGGCTCAGCTAATCTGAATATATCAAATAGCATTATTCTGAACACATATTTTAGAAGTTTTCAAATATTCAGTATTTAATCTAATAAGAATTTCCGCATAAATTAAGACGGATAGTTTCACAATGGTTGAGTGCTCTGTGTATGTAAGACATTGAAAAGGGAATTATATACTGAAAGTAAAAATAACACAGTGTGGTCAGATTTCCTGTAGTTAAATAATCAAAAATCAAGATCATTAAATTTTAAAAGGGTTCCCAAAAACAACTCTGCATTAAACAATTGTTCAATCATGTTAAGATTTCACATATTGATCTGACTGATTTTGTTCACTGATAGTATGGAATGAACTACTTGTACGGACAGGTAAAAGTAGTATGCATCGGAAATTGAAGGTAGAATTCTTACGGATGGAAGAAGAGAATGGAGAGGAATGAAAGGAAAACAAAAGGCAATCAAAATATCAACGGGAATTGAAAGACGATGGGACAATTCAAGGGATATGCGCAAATAGTGTTTTTTTAATGTATTGTTTTCATATTTTACAGATAGAGCGTGTAATTTTTCTTAACTGAGTGATTTGGCTTATTATTAACAAGGTTTTCATTCATTCCAATGATAATATTTTGCGTCAATACACTGAAATGGTATATATGAACTATTTATATCAATGGATAAATAATCTATAAGGTCAGGTACAGTATATTAAATAAACAATATATAAAACATAGTAAGTTACCGTTGTGATGTTTACATACCACTCACTTATTTACTAATCTAATGAGTACATTACTTTATCCTCATTTATTCAGTTTAAAGAGAAAATCACCATGGTGACTTTGTTTTTCTGTTGGTTTCTACTTTAAAAACATGATTTCTGTAATAATTTACCAACAAGGAATTGTAACTATGGTATCAAATCAGCAATTATTAATTAACTTTGTAAACTACTTATGCATTTGCCTATTCAATAAACGATATATTATATACCACTGAATAAGAATAGTAAATAGTATGATGGAATGCTTCACCTTCAGACATAAACATAAACTGTTTACATTTTATATATTGTTTTTAACCATGAATAAGTTTTCAGATATTTTTTTTGTTCGTGGCTTACATTTTATTCCGCAAGTAAAGTAAAGTAAAGTAAATAAATACCATGGTTATTAGAGTAAGTTATCTCGACGTGTATTAACATTAAGGGTAAGTCCTAGAGATTGTTAAATTTTATAGTTTACTTTACGAAATGGCCTTTGTTAGAGAACGATCGAAAATCAGTAGGGGCTGCATAGTTGTTTTGTCGTAGCATAGGAATCCTCAATACTAGAAAACTGTTGCCCAGTGTTTTGAGTTAATTAAAGTAAATTATAAATTATTGGGTCCCGGCTGAGTAGTCTAAAGGTTAAGTGGTCACTATTTGGTCTGAAGGTTTAAGGCTCGATCCATGGCAAGTGTCAAGCTCTGCCTGGCTTTCAAATATTGTCTTACAAAATCCAGTTACTGATATGAACTAAGAACTTTGATCTTCAATTTCTTTTTTTTATATATAATAGTTCTATAACTTTAAGACTCATTATTTAAAGACAAATCGCTCGAAACTAGCCACTGTTGATAATTGAAAACCAGTAATGATCGCCCGATATCGCGAACCGGTTGAAGTTATGTATTTTTACCATTTGATCCCGACTCTGATATCCAGATATTAAACATTCTTTAGCGATCTTGCGGGACCTGAGTTTGATCCCAGATTGCATGGCGTCATGACTGGCTACTGCTGAGGAGTTGAACTTCAGGATGAAACAGCTGTTAATTCCTTCCTTTACTTCATTGTTGGTTTATCCAAGGTTAGTTCATTATTCAAAGTATGAAAAAGTCAATGACTTTTCATAATTTTGATTATACATATCGTGGTAAGACAACTGGGAACTATACTTCCAAAGTTTAATATAAATAATTATTCTGTCGTTTATTTCTAGTTAACAATGTGAGAAATATAGTTTGTGGTATAATACAGAATTAGTTTGAAAAATCATAAATATTTATGTGAATAGTAAATTTTTATGAAATAAAGCTACTTACAACTTGATGAATTTCCATGCACTAATGCTGCCAACTGATGACATAGTGAAGTTTTACCAACACCGGATACACCTAAAACTTGTACTTGATAAAATGTTAGTCCTGGTTCATCAGCAAATACTGAATCCAATGATAACGGTACACCTAATGGACTTGTTGGATTACTAATATCATCCATTGCATAGGGAACAGATGGTACAGATTTTGGTGGAGTTAAACATAGATTTGAATAACTATTAGTCATTGATGTATAGCTTAATGTTGCTGTCAAAGGACGTTTATATAATGATGACTTATTTAAGGGATCTTCTTCAGTACTAGCTCTTCTAAGTTGACCTTTTCCAGGAGGTTTTAAATAACTTGTTTTATTTGATCTTATGCTTTTTGTGTCCGATATACTTCCACTATTGTTATTACCATAATCAATAATACATTTTTGTCTTTCTAGACTAGTTTCACGCATTGAATGACTCCGAATATTGGTAGTGGATAATGTAGGATGTAATGATGTTTTTATGGCAGATCGTTTTTTCTCTTGGTCTCTATGAACATTAGCTATATGACAAAAATAATCAAACTCATCCATGATATTACCAATAGTTGATGTATTCATTTGATTAGATTTATTTTGATTGTAAAGAGTACTAGTTGATGAAGAATCTATGTTAGTACTGTTATTATTTGTTGGATTCAAATGATCAGCAGGATTCTGAAAGGAACGTGATTGTCTCACTAATTTACCACGTCTGCTACTACTGTTATAACTACATTTACTGGTATTAGCAAGATTGCATGTATTCGTTTCTAGTCTAATGTCTAAATTATTTTGTGTATGTAATTGTTGGCTGGACAGCGCTCGAGCTCGGATGCGATCAGTAGAATTATTATCATCCAAATAATGTTGATAACACATATCATTATTATCATCAGTATTGTTTACATCAATATGCGATGAAGTGGATAGATTATTGTGCATCGACAAATGATTTGAGTTTATTCGACCTCTTGATGTTTTAGAATATAATGTAAGTTCTGGAATGAACTTATCTTTTTCTCTCTTATAAACGTTGTGTTCATCATCGTTATTATTATTATCATTATCAATATCAACATCATTATTCATATCTTCATCATTAACCAAACTAATTTCTATCGACGGTGTAATAGTCAAATAACTACGTTTTATAACTGATGTTATTGAGTGATTTTGATTGGGATTTTCATTATCAGTATTATCACAGCTTGCCATTTGTCTACACAGTGATTTTAATTCAGTATGTCTGTATAAATTTGCTTTTGATGGATAATTAGAGTGTATACTATTATTATCATTTAATTCATTTGTAAAACGACTATCAAAACTTGATGCTCTCAAAATATTATTCAAATTTGGTGGATATCTGTCTGTTATATATATAGTTGAAGGTAATGGTGTTACCGGTAGAGATGATGATGATAATGAATAAGATTCATCTGATGTAAAAATTGGTTCAGATATAGGTAGACTTAAGTGTATAAAATCATGAATTCCACTAGATCGATGATGTATATTTGTTGGTGATCTGTATTCTCTTCTTCTATTTTCAGTGGTATATTTGAAATCTCTTATAGATTTTTGATTATGATCTATGATAGTTGATGATTTTTTTCTTTGTAATGATGGAGTTGATGAAGTCGATGATGTTAATGTCACTGATGATGATACTGCTTTCGATGTATAACAACTATTTTCAGACAAATCAGAATTTGTATTTAAGTGAAATTTTTTATTCTTATAATTTGGTGGAGTTTTTCTTGTAGCTAATTTAAAATAAGAACAGGGAAACGGAAAGCAGAGTCAACAATAAAGTTTTTCTTTTCAAAATAAAATAAGTAATATAATAATCTCTTTTGAAAAGTTGATCACAAATAAATTGGTCATTTGAAAGCTGGGATGTGATTGGCTATTCATTGACCATTTAAATATATATATATATACCAATCGTAAGTAATTTGATATAAAATTGATAAGCAACATAGAATATCCTTAGTATTACTTACATTAACTGAATAGATTTGGATAATCCACAACTTTTAGTTTTGTTCTTAAGTTAATCACAACAAAATTGTTTTGAGCATGAGACATTTATTACCAATAATAAAGTTTGATGATCATACAACAGTGCGAACTGGATAAAGTTAGACAAGAAAACCACTGAATACTGAAGCAGTTGTCTAAAAAAATTAGCGCTCACTGAGAGACCCAAGGGTCATCGGTTCGATCTATAGTAGGGTCGAGGCTGAGCTGATAAATCTCACACTAGTAAGTATTTAGTGGTTTAAAGTTCTTACTGGGTGTTTAAATAAGATCAGTCTGTGAACCAAACAAAAAATATTAATCTTCCAAAAAGTATGGGAAATTTAGTGAGTTAATTCAAAATCGCTATCAGGAGAATATATATATATATATATATATAATTCAGCCAAGTAAGAGATAAAAATGTTACAAATTTCCTATGAATACAAAGATTTGGATTGTTCGCTTGAATCCCCATAGCTTCTGGTTTATGTAATAGGCGAGACGGAAACCCATGAAAAAAACTAATAAAAATACGTTAAGTCACTTTATATGGCCTATTTCTATCTACTACATGACCAAGTGTGATAGAATAGTTCTGAGTAATGTTGTGACAGTATCCTTTCCCAACCACGAAGAGTGGTGTTCACTAACTTGTTGGCTCAGTCGTCTGGTTATGCGCTCAACATATCGTTGTCTTTAGTGGCTGCTGAATTCGTAAATACACATGGATGTGGCAAAACCAGGTAATATATCCTTTATTTGAGGAATCGCCATAGGTAGGCTGGAGAACGACAGACATAGGTTAGCTGTATTAAACATTGATTCAAACCTTGATTGTTCTTATCACAATTAGTACACTGTTGTCACACTATCGGTTTATACTTTTTACTTATTATGTTTATTTATATTTATCTATTCCATTGTTATCAGTGACTCATAAACAATCTTAATTGGTTTAATGATTTCATAAATGCATATAAATATTATTGTACATTAAAGCCTGATAAGAATCTAATTGAAAACAGTATTGCAATCATTAAAGTGCCTGAAACAAATATTAAAGGGTAAATCAATCCTCCATGGTTCGAAAAGGTTCTTAGATTAATATCACTTACTTATGTTAAGTGGTACATTTGTTTAGACTTTATCTTCAGTGATAAAGACCAATTGTGATAAATTAAAACTAAAGATAAATTTTTTAAACAACATATTGATCAAAAAGAAAATTTGCTCCAAATTGATTACCTAGATTCTATTTATTATCTAAAGAAACTTAATATTCTTGCACAGGATAATCTTTGATGACTAACGTTGGAGAACAATCATATGAATATTGAATTTCGAATTTTTACACGAAATATATGTTTGAAGATTTCACTTTTACTTAGGGTATATTACGTTTGACTATTCTAACTCACGAGTAACCATAACTTACGGATTAAGTTTCATGCTAATTAATACTGGTCAACAAGACATTTCTCCAATCTTGATGAAACTGATATTCTCTGTGTGATTTATCCTATTCGTCCCGTTATTACACTTAGATACATCTTATAAATGAATCAGTGAGAAGTAGATTTTGTTTTTTTGTCTTTCTGTTCAAGGGTGAGCAGGTGTTTTGAATTTGGACTTGAACATAGTCGCTTAAAATTGTAGATCGAGGTTATTTTGAAGAAATTCATGAATATGTAGTTGTATGTGCTATTGTCTACTAAGTAGTGTAGTCAAAATTAAATTCTTCAAAAAGCAGCTAAAATACTAAACTGGTAACGACAAAAGAAGGGAACCGCACTATAAATTATATAGTTTGATAACATTACTAGGCATCTCAGTGATACTATGGAATATCGCAGATACTTTCTGGTGAAATTTTTATTGGAGTCTTACAGACTGCAATAATTATTTAGTTATCCTCATTTAAAAAACTAGATTATTTCCAAAAAACAAAATATTGACTGAGTTATTTCCTCAGCAAAAGTATAGTAAATTACGGCTTATAATCAATTATGCATTATGCTTTGATGAAGCAACAATATAGTTACGAAAATTTACAACTACCTTTTTGTCATTCCATGAAATGGAAAGTTGAAGTTATCATATTATTTGTTACAAACACATCTGCAGCACTTAGGACTAATTACAATTATGAAAATAAGGTTTGCATAAATTACACCACAATTTAAATGATGAACCAAGTTTTGTATACAGCAGAATGGGTCAATAATTTTACGATTTTGATAAAATTGCCAACATTGTTCCTTGAATATAACCCGATAGTCACATGCAAGATTTCTTAAAACGATTATATCCCACTAACTTTAGTGAATCACTGAAGTCTTTCAAAAAAAGGGATGGATAATTGGAAATGTAAAAACAAAGGTTGGCTAGTGAAATTAAGTTAGATTTTCACTTTATTCTGTGACCCCATTTTATCCGCTAAAAACTTTGGTGTGTCTCCATGTTTTTGAGGTTTCTATTATTTCTGATTTTTCGTAAATTAGTATAACTTGCTTCTTCAAAGAAAAATATAACATAATTCAGTCGTGAAACGTCAGAAACCCAATCTTCTATTCTTTAAAATATTACAAATATATTATTGAAGATTTCCATTGTGAAAATTAGAACAACGTTATCGTAATTTATTATTCTTACTACTATCATTACACCTGTCTTCCCACTATCAACTTGTACTTTTACCTATTATGCTCGGTGACGTATTTTATTTCGTTGTGATTATTGACTCAAATTGCCTTGATCGGTCTAAAATTTTCGTATAAATATTCACGTATATAAGAGTAAAGCCTGATGACAATCTAATTGAAAACAATTGTTCGCTTACAAGTGTCGTTCAAATATATTATCGCGCTATCATAGCAAATCTAAGCTACTCATAGCTTGTTTGAAGTGGTAAAGTCCAACTTTGCCACTGGCGTTTTCAATCACAATACCTAACAAACTTATATAGTTGTATAGCAATAAGATCTGGTGTATACAACTGCACATGAATGTCGTTACATCTATCGAATGAATTCCAAATACGAGGAAACACAATAGCCGAATTCAACTAACAAACACTGCTCGACTAAATGGAAATATCGAGGCAATCCACTTAGGATGCAAATATCTCAATAAAGACTGATTATTTATAGTCATTAACACCAGTAACGAGGAAATGAAAATTCTTTTAAATGAAACTAAAGTAGTTGAAATCATGAGTCAATAGTAGCTAGACCACCATAGAAAACCTGGAAGCACTGGACGGCCGTTTCGTCTTATTATGGGACTCCTCAGCAGTGGTTCGAATCTCGGGAGGTAGGATCGTGGATGCGCACTGCTGAGGGATCCCGTAATAGGACGAAATGGCCGTCCAGTGCTTCCAGGTCTTCCATGGTGGTCTAGCTTCAATTGACTCATGATCTCAACTATGAAAAATACTGAAATCTCCACAAAACCCCTTCTGAAACTATAATACCTGTGAAATAAATTTTATCAAATGCCACTTAATGTTATCTGACTTCATTAATGCCATTGCATTTAAATATACATTATGATATTTCAAAAAATATCTTAAATATCTACTATCTTCATCTACTTATCAAGAAAGAAATATTTTCAGGATTGACTCAACCTACTTATACTATGTTAGTAGTAATGACAAAAAAGAACATATACTTACAGTAATATATGTATATATAAAAGATAAATCTTATAATGGCGATTAAAACAAAAGCAGTAAAAAAAGTTCATAAATCAATACTTTAGAGACAAACCTATATCATTTGATTTATGGTTGGATACCAAGTTTAATAAGAGTTTTTCATAATTTAATTATCTATTATCAAATGACAGACATAATAACTGATAAGATAGAAGAGAATATTGTCAAATAAAAAAGAAATTTCACTTTGATTATAATTAAAATTTATAACTGTTTGGCAAACATAAACTTTAATTTCACCTAGTATTGTTTGTTTGAATCTTCCCATTGATGTTTAGGACGGCAACTGGTCAGTCTCTTATTGGCATATGTGCATCGTGTGCGTATTGCTACGATATATACATCTTTGCTTACAATGCTTGTCAATTGAGGCAATATCGAGGCAATTCGCACAGTATGCACATATGCCAATAACACACTGATCAATTGCAGTGCTAAACATCAATGGGAACATTCAAGGAAACAATATCAAGTGAATTTCAACTTGAACCGATTGCACAAGCAAGTAGCTGAGTGGATAACGCGATGGCGTTTGAAGCGAAAGGTAATGGGTTCGAGTCGCAGAGTGTACATCAACTCTGAGATGAAGGTACATCCAGCTAACCAGTCCCAAATAGGACGAAACGCGCGTCCTAGATTACACTGCTAGCCACCATCCATCTTTGCTTATCTTACGTGACTGAAAATAGTTAAAATATGAATATGGAATTTACGCTTAATTTTCATAAACGCTTATAGAATATTAAATGGGATTAATGCAAGTGAATATTATACTGAACTAAAATATTATCCTATATTTCATTTCATTCTAACGAATGCAAACACTAAAAATATAAGTAATAATCTGTTTCTCATATTGTTTCTTATACTAAGTATATTTGCTCTGTTTTTAAATATGAGATTCGCAGTAATGTATTACACAAAAAAGGATAAGATAGTATATACATATATATATGGTAAAGTCAGACATTAAAACCGTTGAATCCAGGCTCATTGGTCTAGAAGTTAAACGTTTGCACGGGACCTAAGGTCCTGGGTTTGAGTCTTGTAGGTGTGAGCGTGAATGTGCACCGTTAAAGAGTCCTATACTAGAACAAGACGGCCGTTCAGTGCTCCCCGGATTTCAGTAATGGCCTAGCATTGGTCGGTTCGTGATCTTAATAAAAACTCAGCAATCTCCACAAACCTATACTCATATGCATATATATTGATATATGTTTGATAATAATAGTATTGATGAAATATACTAGTCAAGTGGCGGTGTGTCGTGTAATAATTTTAGAAATTTAAAAGGTAATGAAAATAATTGTGAACAGCTAACAAAGATGTTAGAAGATGGGATGGACAAAGTTTTAAATAATCTTCGTTATTGTTTATTAAAATAGCGAATTAAGATAAATGGTTTAGAGGCTGGTAAAAATAAAACTCATTATAAGTCCAGCTCAGTGTTGAACTATGAAGAAAAAGCTAATTTAAAAGCAATGTCCTTTTTCCTTGTCCAGTTTTATTTCTAGTTGTTTACATAAGAATTCCCGCCCTACCGAAATCCTTATAGGAGGGATTCGCAGTAAAGATTCTCAATGAATATCTAAAGTACAAGGCATGTACAACTTATATCTTCAAATAACACTGTGGTGTATGTTATTTATGTCTATCAACATAAGTAGTACGCAACACCAATTAGAAATGCAATGCCTGGCAGCAGAAAATTTGAGAAGATTGAACTAAAGAAAACAGGAATGGAAACATAAAGGAATTGAAAATTAGAAGAATCATAAAGGATGTAAAAGACAATTGATGGAGAATTCGCAAATGAGGTATTTAATATACAGTTAACACATTTTACGAAACAACTCTATAATTCTTCACTTAACAACAAATTGATCTTTCCCACTTCAGTTTTTCTTCACTATAATACAATTAGTGAAGTTGAAATGAATGTTCAAAACAGGATAAACATCATAATAAGCCAAAAATGGACTTACAATTTTATTTTATATAGTTGAAACCATGAGTCAATTGAAGCTAGACCACTATGGAAAACCTGGAAGCACTGGACGGCCGTTTCGTCCTATTGTGGGCTGTCCAGTGCTTCCAGGGTTTTTTGTAAACAATGAATAAATATAAATTCAACTTAGTATTGTTTGTTTGAATCTTCCCATCGATTTGTTCGGACTGCAACTGGTCAGTCTCTAATTGGCATATGTGCATACTGTGCGTATTGCCTCGATATACCTTAATTCACAAGCATGGTTAGCAGAAATGGATAGTGGCTAGCAGTGGAATCCAGGACGCGCGTTTCGTCCGAGTGGATAACGCGATGGCGTTTGAAGCGAGGGTACTGGGTTCGAGTCCCAGAGTGAACATCAACTCTGAGATGCAGGTACATCCAGCTGACGAGTCCCAAATAGGACGAAACGCGCTTCCTGGATTCCACTGCTAGCCACTATCCATTTCTGCTAACCAATGAATAAATATGTAAATCGATTATGTAATTCTTTACTTTATTTATCTTTAATATTCAAGTCATAGTTTTCTTTCACTAGAATTATGAAGTTATCTACAACGTCATCCTCTGTTTAGTCTTGTTAACTTATAACTACGCATTCAATTTATAAGTTTCTATTCTAATTCAAATGACTATTATCAATTCATTGGATAATCTATATGGAAGTGTTGTTTCTTAATCGTATTACTGATTGTAGCTTTAGACTATAGCATACTAAGAACACTTAGAATACAATAAATTTGTTCTATTCTTCAATTCTCATTGTTTGGCTTTGTTTTAAGTTTTACATAAAACTGAATCTATAAATCTGTTTTCAAGAAAAAAGTCAAGGGTGTTTTTTCTGAAAAAATTAACATAAGAATAAAGAAATTCGGATTTATATAATACAATGTGTATTGATTTTGAATAGTGATTTGAGTAGTCCAGGGGTAACGTTTCAGACTGTGAAGGCGTATGGAGCGTATTCAGTTATTAAATAGAGTATCAGTTTTATTATTATTACAGTTACAACTTTCTGGCAAGTTGCAAACATGTTCATGGTTTCTAGTTGACTAATTTCAAATACCTAACATCATAATTTAGTACAAGTGAGTTGAATCACTCAGATAAGTTACCGATTTACAACTTGATCGTTAAAACTTTAAATAACACTAAAAGATTAGACAAACGTGATATTAGTTACCACAATCAGCGATCAATCAATAAGAGATATGTACGGAACTTCTTTACCATTATTATTATTAGTGGCTTTATTCAATATTATAATTTTGGTACAATATAGAATTCTCAGCACAAAGTATTTGAACAAGTTTCCTTCTCTTATTTCTTGATCAATGCTTGTGATAAATATTGAGTGATCTCCAGTTAGACGTTAGCTGTTCAGGAATCGACATTTTAATAGTGTACATTCCTTTCGATGCATATTGCTAGCAACCATGATGTCTCTGATTAGGCTCTTTTGCAAGTTGTACAGCAAAAGGTCATAAATTTTTCACAAGCACAACTGAGAAGGTTATGAAACTATTAAGCATGATGTGTTAAAACAAACAAGAAGACGGATAACTTGATGACATATCCGGATGGCAGGAACAGGTAGCCCAGATACTCGACACGCCTCCTTGTCGTTAATACAAAATGTAAGTAGGGATAATATAATTTCTTCTAAAATGTATTCGTAATAACTCATTCTGAGTTAAGTCCATTAATTTCATGATACATCAAGGAATTCATATCAAAAATATAGATGCCTCGAGACAAAAAAACTGATAAAAAAATTCCATATTTCGAAAGAAAATAAGGTTCTGTTGTCAGTGCCTACCAGATTTTATTTGGTTTCAGACATGCGAAATTTCGATAAGTTTACTCATATTTTGTTGATAGGACACACATTGAGAAAAGCATCCAACTGCGTCACAAAACAAGCTCTCACATGGGATCCTGAAGACCAAAAGAAAAAAAGAAAGACAAGAACACATCACGCCGAGAAATGGAAACAGACATGAGAAGAATGAACAAAAATTGGATAGAATTAGAAAGGAAGGACCAGAACAGAGTCTATTGGTAAATGCTGGTCGGCGGCCTATACTTCATTGGGAGTAACAGGCGTAAGTAAGTAAGTTATTCAAGTTTTATATCAATTTTAAAACAATTAGTTATATTAAAAATTAATTTTCGTTTTCACTATTCTCCAATGAAATCCATGTATATATATATATATATATATATACGTGGAAATAACATGGTAACCATTTATTTATAAGGACGTTAGGAACAAGCCGATTCGTAAATATTATTGCTGAATTATTATTACACTTAATGTATTCAAATAATTACCATGTTATTATTACAGTTATTCAATAAGTAATTAAGAAATGAAACCATTTTATACCTTTAATTTGGATTCATTAATTTGAAAATTCCCCCCACAACTAAGTTATTACTTATTATTACTACTATTTCCCAACTGTATTGCATGGCTAATCAAAATAAACCAGTTCAGCTTCATCATGTATACAGGAAATACTATAAAGGTAATTTGGGAAACACGAAAATCACTACTTAAATGTGATTTAAATATACTTTGCCTGAAATAGATATTTTCAAAAGTTTATTTTATCAGCCTAATATTGTGATTGTAAAAAGCGGTCATTTAACCGAAATTTCTGTGTTCTAACTTGAAACCTAAACAATTTTCTTAAAGAAGCACGATTACATCTATTATGCATAGCGAAAGTTATCTTGACCAGCTTTAAATAACCAAATTTATACATCCAAACGAGGTATATTCAAATTCTCATTATACCTTAGCTAATATACCAGGTTATCTATCTTAAACTTGGACCACATAGTATACCGTTAAACTTAGTCCTCTCATTTTGTGTGAACTAGGAATTTTTTTTATAGATGCCTATAGCGGTGTTATATTATTATTTGTACATGCCTGGTACTGATGTTACCACATCATGTTTTATTCAGTTAATTAAGTTAATAATATTTCATCACTTATGTATAAAAGGATGGGTTTCAGTTTAAAGAGTAATCTTAAACAAAACTATTAAATGAACATGAATATTACGTTTTAAAACAATAATTACTAAGTTATTTAAGAAAATAATAGTTTTAATGTTTTAAGATGTATACTTCCGTTCAGCCTTAGTTTTAAGAGTAATACTGGGATTTCAAATATATTGAACTGATGTATCTCAAATAGGTTAAGAGGAGCTTCACAAATGTTACTGATGGTATAAATTAAAGGTATTTCAATAGATGTACATAACTTACATGAGTTCAAATTACTTATTACTCTATTTACATAGATATTAAGAACTTAAATTGTGAGTAGAATGTATGACAATCCTAAAGAAAAAGAAATAATACAAATCCGGAAAAGAAATATCCCAAATGAATCATCAATTATTCATTTGAACTAAATTATTGGGATCTAGATTACCTTCTTACATATCTGAGCTAATATTTTAAGAAAAGTTAAGATTCTTTCAATTAGGAATATATTTTATAATTATATCAATGAAATAATAATTACGTACAATTAAAAATGATATGGTTGAATTCGTGAGTCAATTTACATAGACATTAACACCATTGAATGCCGACTCAGTGATCTAGAGATTAAAGAGCTCGCGCGCGAAACTGATAGATCCTGAGTTCAAATCTAGTGAGGTGAGATCGTGGATTCGCACCACAATAGGAAGAAACGGCCGTCTACTACTCCCACGTTTTCCATGATGGTCTAACTTCAATTGACTAATGAATTCAACTATAAAAATACTAAAATCTCCACAAAACCATTTTTCTACTAATTAACAATTAACTCATTCAATATAATTTACATGATATTTTGTTAACTGAACTGTGTTTACACGCTAACCAATTAACAGTTCATTACACTTCAATTATTCATTAAATAGAATTAACTCATTCTTTAATCTTTTTTTAATGTAACCAATGACTTCAATTTCTAGAATTATTTCTGCGAAAAGAAATTGAATCTTTTTTTATAGTAAACCCTAAAAAGAACATTGAAAATGACATAGTAACAATAATAATAATTTCAAATTGTACTGCCGTTATTGATTTTTCCTTTTTTCTTTTTTTTAAATGTTCCATATCATTGAAACCAATTATTCAAATAGATTGTTTTAGTTAGCAAAGATGGATAGTGGGTAGCAGTGGAATTCAGGACGCACGTTTCGTCCTATTTGGGACTCTTCAGCTGGATGTACCTGCATCTGACAGTTGATGTTCACTGTGGGACTCGAACCCAGTACCTTTCGCTACAAAAGCCGTCGCGTTATCCATTCAGTTACTGAGTCCTGATAGCCACTGACCAGTTGCAGTCTTAAACATCAATGTGAAGATTCACACAAGTAATATTAAGTTAGTTTTTATAATTCTGTTTTTGTTTTTTATTTGAATTTATGAACCAAATATTTGTGAGTCTTTTAAACCATTTCAGCTATTCCGATAGTGTAATAAGAAGATGAAGATTATCAGAACTATGTTGTGATATACTAGCGCAATACATTTCGAACAATCTGATCACATATATATTTGTTAAGAACGTTTATACATAAAAATAAATGGTCAACTCCACTGAAAATGGGGGTAAGAATAGACAAGGATAATAATGATAAAATAATGTGAAAACAATTTGATAAACAATTTGACACCTAATCACTCTGGATAATATGCATATATTACCAGGGTACGTTTAAAGAGAGAACAAACTGTTTTTGAATACACAAAGGGGGTTTAAATTTTCGTATGGCTAAGGCTTAATAAACCTTAGTATACGCCCTTTTACACTTTTATACAACACAACAAAGTTAAGATCAATCTTATGACCTGTTTCGATTATATGTTAGGCAATAGAGGATGATGGATGTTTATCCTCTACTCTTATTGGGTTATTTGATTCTATTTGTTTTGTAACCACTTTGGTACATGTTCAACCACCCTAATTTTCAGATCAATATTGCTCCTCCCTTTGTATGTGTGGCCACACACACATTTACTTTGGTAAACACAGTGGGATGTGACACAATCGTTTTCATGTCTTTTAGGTTTTGAATGAAGCATGGACCTGATCAGATCGTTCGAAATGTACTGCGCTAATATATCACATAGTTCTGATAATCTTCGTCTTCTTATTACATTATCGAAATTTATCAAAGGGACTAATTGCGTTGCATTTCAATTATGTTCTATATGTGCTATGGAAACTTTTGTTTTAATAATTCTATTTAATTCAAATACTATTTGTTATTGAAGAATTATGATTATCTTATTTAGAAATTAGCAATATCAATATTAGCGATAATTATATAAGAACGTTCGCCTAAATTAGAGCGAATAGCTTCACAGTATTTGGGCGCCGTGCTGATGTAAGACATTAAATAGGAAATATATATTTGTTTATTTATCTGTTTGTTTATCACCGAATGAATTTAAAGTAAATCCAACGTTTCTCCTGAAAATCTGGTCGAAGCTTTTTCAAGGAAACTTTGGATTTACTCCTTTGAGATTTTACAAATATATTATTACTATTCAATGTCGTAATGATAACTAGTTTATCTTAATTACCGTAATTTTGTTTCATTATTCATAATTTAACCCAATTGATGATAATGAGATTGTTAGTGTGTGAAATGAATAGACGAATATGTAAGTCATTAGAAGTGCATTTCCACGACCTAACTGGGTATAGAACCAAAGTACTCAGGTCTTATGGAGAGCACTTAATCTATAGGGTATTAATTCAGCATCCGATAACTGTCCAACCAAGATAAGTTGTCAGTGTAGATTATCAAAGTTCAACAGTCTTTAAGAACATTTACACTTAAAGTAATTGTAAATAAATATTTTCTTATATATGAATGAAAAGTGGTCATTTTGAAAAAATAACTGATTGAAATAATTCATGAGAAATCTTTTAGGATAATCTATTTAACCGTTGAATGACGTTAATGCTTTTACAAAGTGAACGGATTATGGTCAACAGTAAAATAAACGATTTCCTTATCACCACATTTTCAACTCTATATTTGGATGTACCTACATCTCATTATTAATGTTCAAAATGGGACTCAAACTCAGCACCATTCTTTTCCAAACCATAATAGCGTTATCTACTGGACCAATGAACTTAGTTAACCAGTAATTTGGACAAGAATTATGATAGTACTAGCGGTGCATCTCAGATAGGATTTAAATCTAGACATTGTAATATAATTTTCTGTTCATTTTGATTCAAGTGAATACAACATACCTGTGACTTGGACAGAATCTTTGGTAGCATTGAAATCACAGTAGGTATAAACCATTAACTTTTATTAATTTCATGACTAAATTGAAAATTTTTTACTTTTGATTCACTACGTATCGGAGATTATCATTAACATCGCTGTTTTACATTTGACTTGCTATTGTTAGAATTAGTTTTTCTCAAAGCCATATGCAAACATTTATGCTCAAAAAAAAAGATGACTATTACCTTTCCTATTACCTCACCATTTCAAAGTGAGTAGAAAATGCTTGTAGGTTGTTGTTTATTTTTCAACATTTACCAGCACATGGAGTTTTGTTTGTCTTGTTAGGTGAGAATTATTGACGACTTTTTATCAAAACAAACTTATTTACTACTATAATTTGATAAATCATTTGAGTGAAGGCTTGAATCGATTTCGTAGCTCTTCAAATAACCCCAGATTAAATCCACATGAAAAATTGGACATAAGAGAAAAGATTCAAAATGTGAAAAAAATGCTTTACTCCACGATAAGTTTATGTACAGAAAATTGAGGGTATTTACAGCATTTCAAGTGTCCCTGACCTTCAGTAAATCCTACTATACATAATAGCAGAATAGGCAATCATCCAGTCGGAAATATGACACGTGACTCCTAACTTTCTAAATG